ACACAAGATTGATTTTTTTTACTGCAAGATCTTGTTTCTTGCAGTGAAGCTGGTTACAGCAAGAAGTGACAAGAAAAGTGTTCTTGCCTTCTTGCGCAAGAAAGATAGTTTCTTGGGGCAAGAAAGAGGCAAGAATGCGCAAGAAACGATTCTTGGGCAAGAAATGTCACAAGATCTTGCATTCTTGCTTAACAAGAACATCGACTAGGGTCGTGTAACGCGTTCGTCTTGACGCAAGTTGATGCAGCGAGTCACGGCACGACTCTCCCACGACGATCGCAAATCCCAAATTATTTGAAAAATAACAGAAAAAATTTTCTTTTCTCAGATGTACAGCGTATGGAGACCGTCGATGTATTCCGTGTTATATAAAGAATTTTTCTGGTGAAAAAGTCATAGGACGAAACTTCTGGAGTTACACAAAAACCAGATAGGATTTTGCTGGTGTTTTTAATTTTTTTTTCCGGCTACACGTACGGAGATAGTTATTACTCTACACTATAGAAGGCTCTGTTTTGTGAATATCCGTACGTGTAGAATCGAAAAAAACACCAAAGGAAATCCTATTTGGTTCTTGTTTGTATTAATCTGCAACTTTCAGGCAGCGAAATCTTGCGAATTTCATGAATTTCACCGAAGAAATTATTATATATCACGGAATAAGTCGCCGGTTGTTCTCTTGTAAAGCAGTCGTGTATTAAGCGGCTAACTACAGTTTCGAAAACTGAACTACTTTATAAAGTATGAAATCTTCAGCATATTCTGTGATAAAAGAACTTTTTCCAATAGCGACATCTGAAAGATTTTAATTGCTCAAAATTTGTGATGAATCAATAACTACATGTTAGCCGTATCGCGGTTATAATATTCTTTCATCTGATTTCCTCTTCTTCAAAATTTGACATTTGAGTTATCTTCGACGGAAAAATTAACGGCTAGTCGAGAACTACCCTATTATGTTTTGGAAAGCCAGTTTCAAGCCAAGTTTTTGCGAAATCGTTCTATAAGGTAGCACAGTTTTTTCGAAAAAACTGCTTGATGTGCAAAACCATAATAGAAGACATTTATTTTAGAAGGCGTTTATATTTAGCTTGTATTTTAGTATAGGAAATAATAATAATCTATTCAGGAAAAGTAGAATTAATGTAGAATTAACACATTATAACTATCTTTCTTCATTCGTAGAAAAACATTTAAATATTAGGGGGAGCGAAAGTTCGCATGTAAGAATGGATTTTCGAAAGTTTTTGATACTGATGATGGTTTAAGTAAGCCGGATTTTAATAGAAGTACTGCTATCATATACTTGTATACTCAAGTGCACAAATTTTGATTATTATCAACAACTATATAATGCGTAAAATTGCATCCGACATGCACCAGTCCAAGTCCAGACTTGATAATTTTTCCATGCTTTTAGATTAAAATTGTTCATTCCTGCTTATTCTACCATTCTTTTAAATTTTAGATGTAAAATCTCCATTTTCCATGTCATTCTTTCGGATTAATGGCAGTAAAGGTAATCAAATGATTTTGTTTAACTTCATCAATATTTTGATTTTTTTTCAGCAAAACGTGATCGAAGCAAAAGTCGAACTCGTTATGATACTGAAGATCTTCCATTCATTCAACGTCTACCATATTATCGTGATTTAGCTGTACAGTCCGGTATGTTTTTTCATGAAAGTTGTCGATAAAGACTTATTTATTAATTTTTTTTTTTAATTATAAAATTTCGTAGGTAAATGTACAGTTTCAGTAGAATTAACCTCATTACGATATTCAAGATTGAATCGGTCTCTCTATCAACTCGTTTATACACCCAATGATGAGCTAAATTTTTTTGTTCTCTATATGGATGCATGTGGTTTATCGAGTTATCTAAAATTTATACTTGATGTACATGCCTTTGAAAAATTAACAAAATTAGATGGAGCAAATACAAATAATGATCAAAAACATCGAACAGTTACAAAAATGCATAAACAAAAACAACAAGAAGGAAATATCACCAGTATGCATGAACATTTGCTTTTTTATATTTCAATGAATGTGAATATTATTAATCTCTTTGCTATTGTATTTTGTTTTGCTAGGTCAGCAACAAATAGACGCATTGAATATATTTCAGAAGTATCTTGCGTTAGATGCAAAATATTTAGTTCCAGTTGATGATGACACTCGTCGTACAACGTTGTGTAGGTATTTTGAGCTAGAACGTAAAAATGACTATATATTTCATTTCGTAGGTTTAATTTGCCCAGCAACAAAAAGTCCAAATCCAGAAACAAATTGTTTTCAAATGGCCAAAGATTTTGTATGGAAACTTATTGAGCAAACGTGAGTTGTTTACAAGTAAATAAACAATTTTGTTCATTTATTTATGGTAGAATTTTACTTCAGTTCCTATAGATCTTATTTATCAAGTACCTATCATGTTAGATATCAACTAAAACTATTAACCAGTTCCGATATACGATTGCATGATATTCTGTATAATGATTCGTCACTGTCTTATTTTATGGAGGTAGTTCAAAATCTGTTAATGATTAAGAAAAATAATAAATAAGACAAGTTTTCTTTCTATAGTTTATTGAACAACAACACTCAATTGATTTACTTCGTTTTTGGTTGACAATTGAGCATTATTATCAAAATACTCTTAATCCAATAATTGATAATCAAACACTAACAGAAAATGCATTGAATATTTATGAACAGTTTGTAATTTAATATCTAATTTACATCAATTAATATGAATCTATTGTTTAGATACATAAGTCTTCAAGCTCGAAATCGTTTGGGTTTTGATGATGCTATTCGTGCTAGAATCGAATGTAGTATATGTCAACAGGACGTTAATTCAGGACCATCGGCGGATACATTTGATCAAACAGCATGGATTGTTTATAATATTCTCAATCAGGTATATAAATTTGCTATTGTTTCATGATATTATTTTAATTGAATGTTCTCTCATATTAGGAATATTTTTCAAATTTTCTACGAAGTGACATATTTTGTCGTCATATTTCTGATTTAATGCTCAGACTACAGAATGACGATGTTGTATGTTCAACATCCATTAAAACGGATTCAGGTTAAAAAATATTCTCTCTTTTACAGAATAATGAGTACTTTAACATCTTGATTCTTATAGATACTACATCGGTTAATTCGGAAACGCCCAGTACGAACAGTAATTCCAATCAACAACCAATACCACCGATCGAAGAATCAAAACAACTACGACAAAGAAACGTTAGTACATCATCAACACAAAGTCAAGAAAATATTAAATGGAAAGGGTTGGTAACAAGAGTTTATCGCGTAAAGAAATCTATTTCATGAAACTGACTTTTAGCAAATTATCAATGGCACATATTGATGAATTAGGAAGATTCGTCAGAGATAGCGATGTTGAATCGATTGATTGTTTGGCTAAAAAATCTTATGGACCATTGCAACGTTTATCACTCTTCATGAAGAACGAAGAAAATGAAAAAGTACAGTAATCAGTTTGTTTTCTTTGTTATAGTGTAATGTAGGCTATTTTTGGATAGAGTAGAATCCAAAAGGACTCTGTCGGATATCAAAATTATACTAAGCCAAAGTTTTATCTGTCAGCTCGTCATGACGGAACTAACTATGTATCGAATGTGGGTTCATTCGATTAGGTTAACGAGATTTGAGGGTCCCAATGATTTTAGCCTTCAATAGGTACTAACGTAAGAGGAATGGTCGCTATTCTGCAAAAAAGTAGAATGAAATATTCTTGTACAGGAATGAAAACTCTACAAACTGGGTATGTAACGAGTCTGACAGCTAGCTCTTCTAGAAAAAAATAAATCGTTGATGTTAAAGAGTCGATTGACTCAATTTTATTTGTGTTCAGCAAAATGCCCGTAAAATCTGAAGGAGATGACAACTAACTTCTCCTTGGGTCAGAAATTGCAAGAGTGTGAGCTTTGTCTACCATATAAATTTGAAAGTCTGAAACCGTGTGCCTCTATACGAAGAAATTTTTACTGAAAAAAAAGTATCCCAAGGCTGAAAGTATGTCGGACTCGAAATTGACTTTTTATTGCTGATTTCCGTTGGCCAACCAATTCTAACATCATATTCATACTCAGCGAATAAAACACCGTCGAATGAACTATCAAACATAGGGTCAAAACACAAAAAGAATGTTAGAGTCGGACAGGGGCGTAGCTAGCACCTCAGAGCAGGGAGGTGATCCTGCCCAAAACACTTTTTCACGAGTAGATTACTAAATGAAAATTCAGTTTCTACATGCTATAAGACGTATCAAAAATTTTATACGACAATAGCAAAAAAGCTTTTCTAAGGTCAAGGTGATGGTGATCATCTCCCAGTAACTACGTCTCTGAAGTCAGAACTATTTAAAACTAGGTCCCCATTTGCCCATATCTCCCGAAGATTAAAAATTTAAATTGGGTTGAAAGATTTTTAGGCGGAAAGAAATGCTTTTTCGATGCAAATGTGTTAAAAAATTTTCTTATCGAATTTGGTTAATGATATCGCTTTTGAACGATATATTATTCTACTTGAATCAATTGATACTTGATAAGAGTATTTATTTACATATAAAAAGGTGACATGTAGTTGGATCTTCGTTGTTTAAAAGCATGTTTTAGACAATAGGATGAAGACTTATATCTACGTATTCTTTTTCCTCTTCATTGTATGAGTCTTAGTATTCACATGAAAAAAATTGAACATCTATTGAGAAAGAAAAAGACATACTTGACTATTACAAAATAATCGAAAATCATAGTTCACATCAAATATTTAATCATTGACAATTGTTTATTTTCTAAATTTGTTTTTTCGATACGACAAAATTTCTTACAGTGAAAAATTCTATTCAGTACGTTTTCTTCTATGTTTAGGAAATGGAAGTGAATGCAGCCAAATTTGCTGAAAATTTTATTAATTCTATAACCAATCTTACAATGAATGACAATGGTGAAAGTTGATGGTTTCAATTTACCCAAAATGTTTTGAACCTGTGATTATTTTTTATTGTTGTCTATTGACGCAAATAACTGTATACTTTTTCGGTGCTGTTTTTGTTATTTTTCTAAGTTTCTTTTCTTTTTTGTTATTTTGAATTCGAGAAAGAAAAGAAACCAGAGAATGTTGGTTTTTTTATAACGATTTCTTTAGATGCCATTCCGTTTAGTCTTGTATTTTGTTGAAATGATGTGTTACCATAAATTAATTTTTTTGCTTATTAATCGTTTATAACTAACATTTTGCTACTTTTCTAGTCAGTTTTCTTTTTTTGTTACTGAAAATATTCCATTTAAACTATTAATCTTTGATTATTTATTCTATCTGTATTTTCAAAATGCAACAGAAAAGTTATTTTTGATAGAACGTCCGTGTTTATCATTTTTTTCCTTATAAACTTTGTGATTGCTTGTTTGTTCTAAAAATGCAAACAGGTATCTTTCTATTGATGATTTGTTTAACATGTTTTTTTCAATTGAAACACATTTCTAACGATTTAACAAAAAGAAATAGCATTTTCTAATTTATTTTTGATATTCGTTTATGATATTTGTTTATGAATAAACATGTTTTTAATCTACATTGTATTTTTCACTGAAAAAATAATCGATAGAAAAAATTTAGGAAAAATTGTTTTTGATTTTAATGCAATTGTTTTGTGATTAAATAATTGAGCTTTTCTTATTTAGATGTCTGAACTATTTTTTATAAATACAAAATAATACTCATTCCAACTAAAAACTTAAATAGAGAAGAGCGTATGTTGATTACCTTATGTTTGATAAAGATAAAGATTTATACGCTTTCAACTACTTCAGCACGCTAAAAGTGCATTAAATGATAGTTGCAATATACACTGCATAATAATTTAAATACTCACTACCTGCGGTGTACCTTGGTGTTTACCTTTACCACAAAAGAGAAAAAATATAGACGAAGGAAAAATAAAACTAGATGACCGTACTTGAGGTTACCTGTAATATAATATTGTTTTTTCTGCTCCATATACACATATATCTCATTGTTTTTTATTTAAGATCGATCTGTTTCTTACATAAAATGGCTCATGCTCTTCGTTTCGCCACACGATCAGTTTTTAAATTTCAACCGTCAGTTGCAGTTACTCATGTACGACATTATCAGAAGATGTACACTGCACATGTAACATCGACAGGTACTAATTTAACTACGATTTTTTATAAATTCTTCTATTTTACTATCGATACTAGGTGGACGAGATGGAAGTTCAAAATCTGATGACAAGGCTGGGTCTTTAAATGTGAAATTGAGTAGACCAAAAGAAATGGGTGGAAATGGTAACGGAACAAATCCGGAAGAATTATTTGCTGCCGGATATAGTGGTTGTTTTCTTGGAGCTATGGGATTAGCTGCCAAAAATTTAAAGAAAACATTACCATCTAGTACAACAGTATCAGCTGCCGTTACTTTGGGAAAACATAATAACGGTAATCTTGGTTTACAAGTTGAACTGACAGCAAAACTACCTGGAGCAAGTCAGGCCGATGCTGATGCCATTGTAAAAGAAGCCCATACTATTTGTCCATATTCACATGCTACAAGAAATAATGTTGAAGTTAAATTAAATGCTACAACATAAGACTTTTGACTTTTCTTATTTTATAGTTTAGCATATAGCGTTACTCGATTAACCTAATAACTTTATTTTACGAATGAAGTATAGTTTTTTCGACACTGCTTTTATTTTATTATATTGTACAACATTGCATTAGATCTTAAATTCATTGCTTAGATTTTATAAACTTCTGAACCTACATATTTATAATCCTAAGAAATTAGTTCGACAAGATAGCGATGATAATTATATTGATTCACTACTAGTCCGCCAGAAACGTGTTAGGCTTCTCGGAGATGCAGTGAAATAGTCTACTTCCTTGATTTTCGTGGCTGAAAATTGCTATCGAAACTGAGGTGCTTTTTTTCTCATATATGGCTCGCAAACAAATGACTTATATAGTCCTCTGCTTGTGATCACTTTATAACGATATCTTTGAAACAAAACACATTTGTTCTATCAGAACAAACTAAAAGTATTTATGACATACAAGAAATAACTCGTTAGATAAATCGAATAAATTTTTTCACGAAATCCGTAAGTCTATTCTAAAGTAAGTTTTGATATAATCATCGGTGGAAATACAAGTTCCATTAGTCACAGAAAGTAGCACATAATTACTTGTCTGTCTCAAATAATTATTTACTTCTTTTCATAGAAACTAACCTTAAAAATCTCTTTTCAGACCAGAATATGATCTTTGCAGAACAAGTTTTCCATTCAAAAATTTGAAATATAAATGTAGTTATTTCTTGATGTAAACAGATGGCTTAGCGTGCCCTCAACAAAATGGAATCCATTCACTCTTTTCATTTATCATAATTTAGGAATAACATCAAATTTCTGAAGAGCCTCAGAATTAGTGCGAAATGCTACAAACTTTAGACTGAAACATACGTTACCGACTACACTGAGTCACATGGCACTATCTGTTTTCAGAAAAAAAACTCAAATGGAGGTTTAGCAGATAAAATACAGTAAATCTTCAAGTTTAGATAATTTGGACCGATTAGTAACTTACAAGTGACTTACAAATTTTTCGATTTTCGGTGAATAAGAGGTGGGAGATGGACTATCTTTAGCTCCCTCTCAGGGATCGCCTCGCAAACTTCCCACCTCGTCATCGCCGCATAAGCTTTCTGCTCCGTTGCCACCTCGTCCATCGTTAACTCGATAAAATTTTCCTCTGGTACTTCCTCATCAATCTTCCTTAGTCCAGAAAATCTCTGCTAACATAAACTATTCACTGTTTCATCTTGGTTCACAAGAAGAGTCATCATCTTTATTATACAAATATATCAAAATAAACATAAAACCTTTCGCTCACAAGAAAAAATGTCCTCCACGGGGTTCGTGTCTTGAAGTTCTTGCCTCGTCAAGTTTTCAAAAAATCTTCCTCGCGGGGTCCGCCCCGTGAAGAATAACCTCACGAGGATCCTCGTCCATCGCCCACATCTGCGATGAATATACACAAGCTATACCATTTCATCTAATACTGAGTTTTACTAGATTTTGTTCAAATTTAACCAAAAGATTCTATTAAAATTATCTCTGAGTTTGAAGATTTACTGTATTTTATATTCTAAACATGAGTCTGAGCTTCTTTCTGAAGACAAACGCTGCCACGTGACTTAGTGTGGTCAATTTATACTTCCAATTTCTGAATAATAAAGTGGTTTTACAGAAATTTTATAGAAATGTTAGCCTAAAAAAGAGATTTTCAAGCTTATTATCTATGAGAAGAAGTGTCCAAGTATTGGCTATCTAATTGTAAAAAGTACAGGTCTTTATCCATCGTCTATGAAACGTTATTCAAAAAATATCCTATTGCATTCTATAGTAAATGTGAGAATAGTTCGATAAATATGTCTATTTACTGAATATGAGCTATTATCAATTTAGAAATATTGTTACCTACGCTCGATTTTTCTACTAATTCAAAATGCATTAAAAAACTAACGTTCAAATGTGAATAGTTTATATTCAATTGAATCCACAATGGATATCCAACGCCTTCAGTTTTAATGTTTTTTAGATTCACCGTATATTTTCACTTTTCCATATTCAAGAGATTTGTTGACTATTATAGTTCTTTTGTATTATATACTTGATTTGGTTCACCGACAATTAATTATTTGATAATATGACCATTGCATCTATATTGAATAATAACACTCTGGTATTATTCAAAATACTCTGCATGATTGAACAATGATCTGATAAAGAAATAATGTTCTTTTTAAAAGAAAAAAAAATAACACATTCTGTTTTAAATTTTTTTACATTGTCAAAATCGCATCTTAACACTCACTACATAAGTGTCAGTTGATTGCATGATCGTATCTCAAGAGATTTTAATGTTATAATGTATTGTTACTAAACGATATTCGCTCAAGTTTTAGTGAAAATTGGCTCCGCTTAGAATTACAAATTAAATGAATAGTTTACTTTTATTAATGTACGATAAAATTTCATCATCACTAAAACGTATTGTTCTAAAAAAATGTCCATTTAGAGGCTCTTTCGCTTGCGTTCATAACATTCTTCTATGTAACTTTAACAACAATTTATCACCAATATTGTGATTGTCTCAATTCTTGTTCCTAATATAACTGTCACTTATTTATTAATTTTAACATTCTTCTTCTTTTATTAGTCAAATTTAACGTTTGAGACGGATTAATTCGACTAATGAGTAGTGTGCGGGTCTTATTTTCATCTTTCCATTACATAACACAAAAAAATATCTTTTGTTTTAGAATACAATAAAAAAAAATTAATAGAAACAGTTTTAACATGCTATATCAATATATTGACTCTAATTTTTTACACGAGTTAAACAATGTTTTATGGTAGTTTTATATTTATGTTACTTTAAAAGCAAAAAAAAAATTTATTTGACGAAATATTTATTATAGGAATGAAAAATGATGCATAAAAACTATTGATATTTGTCCAAAAAACTTTTTTTTCTATTTGATATGATTCCATTATATTATTAAAATTTTTTGAGCTTTAACTAAAAGTTGTACTTCAGAATTACTGTAAAAATTATTGTTGATATAAATCTGTTTGTGACATATGGATGTAAAGATTTTTCTCTTATGATGTTAGTTGTATAAACATACAAATTAAATCTTTTTAAACTATTTCCTAAGCTTCATTTGTTATCTTCCTCTTGACCTCTTTGTTTAAAACGAAAAACGTTTTGTTTTTTAAATTGTCACACGCTTTATGTTCATCATACACATTATCGGGTTATTATAATTTTCAATTGATCTTAAATGTCAATAGGCGCTGCTTGAACCTTGAGACATATAAGATTTGTTTTTTTATATTTTTTATCATAAGATATTCTGTCTCGACAATATACAAATGTAAAAATATATGAGAAGAAAGAATGAAATCGAGAGGCCAAAAATATTCATCGAAGTGTCATGAACATGTATGCTAAAAGCGTTGATTTAGATATTATTGCAATTTAATTTTATATGATTTGATAAAATAGAAATAGTAAAAAGAAATTATTCAAATGTCAAGCTGATAAGAATAACAACAAAACTCTCTTCTCTCTCTCTCTATTTTTTTTTTCTTAGAAATAATTACACATTGTGAACATATACCAACAATTTTACGTTTTTTTTCTCATTTTTATGATATTTATAGAACGATTAAAAATTATTTTTAGAATTATTTTTATTTTAAAAATAGACATGAGAACCATCGATCTGATTGAATATGAGAATATGCAATGGACGCGCTCGCCAACACACACACACACACTCTATGTCTCTCTCATTTCTCATTCATATTTGTACCGTTTATTATACCGTATTACATCGAACAACAACAAGAAAAATCAAGAGGAACGAAAAACGTTATGAGTAGCCGTCCAAATACACATAAAAAAATGTAACTTTTACTATATACTCATGATGTAGATAGATATAGTCACCGCAAGCAGATTTTATATTTTGATAAAAATAGTCCATAGTCGCTTTGTCCGACAGAATTCAGATGAAGAAAGAAAGATTATTGTGTGCGTGTGTGTGTGTGCGTATTGAACAGTTTTTTTTTTCTATAACAGAAAAAGTTGTCCATGTATGCAGATGAACGAAGAAAAACAGAGAGAAAGAGAAAGAGAGAGCAATAGTGGTAAAAAATAACCATCACGTCTACTATATACCATATGAGTAAAAAAAGCTAATTATCTGAGATCCGATAGTTCTAACCTCTTGCGTATAACTGATAAAAAAAAAAAGAAAGAAGAAGGAAAATCGATAGAAGAAGAAGAAGAAGAAGAAGAAGGACGACGACGACGACGAAAAGTAAGTCGATCTTTGAATGTTTATCAAAACATGATTATGTCTATATAGTACAAACTCCGTTATCATTAGGACGAAAGAATCTAAAGCAAATAGGATCAAAAATCTCTACTGTACAATAAAGCTAAAAAATAAAAAAGCATATATAGAATATACTAATGTAGATTAGTAATAAAAATAAAATTAACGATTATAGTTAAATACATAGATAATTCCAGAATGACTTTCTGTGGTGAGTGATTCTTCAATATTACTAAATAATCCATCAGTGTTAGACCGTAAAGAAATTTAATAATTAATCACTTTAAAAGTAATAAGAAAAGAAAAAATGTCTTCCTACACCAACTTGGCTATGAGAAATTGTTTAAGTTACATTTTCTCTTTAGTTAGGGAAGCGAAATTTAATAAAAAGTCTTCTCATTTTTTTCTATTTATTCAGATTCTTTCAAAAAAAAGTATTGAAATGATTTTTATTTTGTTGTATACTGAATAGTTCCTATGGATCGTGAGTGTATTTTACTTAGAAATTTGGATACTTCTACAGATTAAAAATCATGTTTCTACTACTATCACTTTCATGGTACGCACCGCACTGCCACTAGGGAATTGATCGATCAGCAGAAGAACCACAATTTGTCGATTGGAGCCTCAAAAAAATTTAATACAGTATCTTCTAAAAAGTTTGAATTCTTGAAAAATTCATTATTTCAGCTCACCCATTTGAAACTGAACCTGAATACCTATATAATACATCTTTGTAGTAAAATATGTTCAGTATAATCCATTAGAGTATCGCAACCAACTACAGACAATTAGAACCGTTGAGATCTAGACATCTGGATTGATAGATAATTTTACGCATGCTGGGCAACTAAGTACCATTTTTATTTCCCTGACTAACGTATTACAGCGACATCATATAAAGCTATCTTAACATCTGGTACTTTAGATTCTTTGCATCGATTTACCAGAAAAAGCTTAGCGTGGTCATAATTTTAATTGTTCACCTATCGTGAACAGCAGACAGATAGTTGAGAATTGTGATTGGTCAAGTTTAAAGACAAAAGGAGCACATGAATGAACGTGAAACTGAAATAAAAATGAAAAAATCAGCACAATTAACTATGTCGTGCACTATAACTAAACGACGATTCTTTTTGTTGTTCTTATTCTGAAACAAATAAGATCTCAACAATAAAAGATCTTTTTCTAGCGGTCAACACCCTTGTGATCTGTAAAAGTAAGTTAGTTATTTTTTTTCTTGTTTATTGGAGAATGTCCAATGAATTTGCACGTAAAAGTCTTGACTAGAAGAACAATTTTGTTATCCTAGTCACATAATCACCGTGCCGCTCTCTAATATGATCTATTTTCAACTATCGATTATTTCTATTCAGGAGGTTTTTTTTAATATTCGATGAATTTCATAAATATTGTATCTGTTTGTCATTTTATTTTTTAGATTTTCATTTTTATTTTGACAAGTTTAATGTATCTATGTTAATTTGTTTTTATTCTTAATTATTTTATTACTTTTATAAAATTAGTTCAATTCAAGATAAACAAAACAACATGGCGGGTATGTTTTAAACAAAAGTTAAATGATTAGTCCTACATTTGTTTTCTTATTTTCATAGGCCTATTACCACCTCAAAGTACGCTACAACGTTCAAGTATCAGTAATCCTGCTGCTGAAGCGCTTCGAAAGAAAATGCAACAATTGAAAGATGAATTAGAGCAAGTTCGAGATGATTTAGATAGATCGAAAAAAGATTTAGATAAAGAACGTCACGCTAGAGAAGTAGTAAGTATTCAGTTATTATAAAAGCTAGCAGCAGTAAACATAACGTTTTATATGCATTGTTAGGCTGAATCAGAAGTTAGTCAATTGGCTCGTAAATTACATTCACTTGAAGAACAATTAGAAGATACAGAAAAAAGATTAATTCAGACAACGAATAAATTAGATGAAGCGTCACATGCAGCTGATGAACGGGAAAGGTACTTTTTTATCATCTAAATATGTTTAAAAGAAAGTGTAAGACTTGCTGTTGTTCTAGATCAAGAAAAATGCTTGAAAATCAACTTAATCTTGGCAGTGATCGAACAGAAACACTTGAAATACAGTTGAAAGAAGCAAGAAGTTTGGCAACAGAATCAGATAAAAAATATGATGAAGTAAATAAATATAACGTTAGATGAAAATTGATTGCTAATTATAGTGTTTTATTTATAACTTTTAGGTGGCACGAAAGTTGCTAATACATGAAAATGAATTAGAAAAGGCTGAGGAACGTGCAAAACGTTCAGAATCGTACGTATTTCCTGTAGACTATCCTTATAAAAAAGAAACAACTTTTGTAATCTATTTTAGAAAATGTTTAGAATTAGATTTAGAATTAAAGAACCTCCATCATCAATTAAAGTCATTTTTAGCTCGTATTGAAGATGTAAGTGAATTGAAATATCTTTGTATACCTTTCAGTAAGTAAAATACGTAAATATTTCATGTTTTAGTCTCAAAACAAAGAACAAATATTCGAAGATCAAGTTCGTCGATTATCACAGCATTTAAAAGATGTATGTTCAAACTGTTACTCTATGATCGATATTTTTATTTATTTCCTTGCTCGTATTAGGCCGAAGGACGATCAGATTTTATTCTTGATCAAAAAATTGAGCTACAAAAATCAGTTGATCGACTTGGAGGTAGATTCGTGTATTTGCAGTGTTTTGACTGCTCCCTCCAAAATATTAGCATGTTTCCATGCATTTTTGATCAGATTGTGCATGAGTGTGTTTTTGTATGATATGATTTGTTTTGTTTGTTTTATTAGGCTGAAACACGTGCAGAATATTCAAGTAAACAAGTACAGAAACTTCAACGTGAAGTTGATACATTAGAAGGTATTAAATATTGTGTAAAAGACACAAGTTATGTGTAGTCGTATCATCAAGTATAATTTCTATCTAACTAAATTGAAGAAATTCTTATGCTAACATCGAGCAATTTCTTGATACACTCATACTGCTGATGTTTTCTTTTGTGCAGTTCATTTCTAGACCTTATTTTGGTCTGACTGTGAAAATCTGACAGACTTAAAGCTAATTTCAGGAAAACGTGTTTATGTGTTGATGACTGCAAACAAAAGTTGTTTGTGGTTTGTTTGCAACCTATATATTTAGCTGTTTGTAGAATCGATTGCATCCATATCAGGGTTTCCGATTATTTTTAATCCGAGTGGGTAGATTTTTATGGCAGACAGGTTTTTCTGCAGTGAAATATTTGTAAAATGTAAAGAGCTTTTATTACTCCGTACCAAAATTAATTTTTCCAGTAAAAACAATATTTAATTTTCATCCAAATCATTTTCAAATTTTGGGCAGAACAAAAAATCTCAAAATCTGACGGACAGTGGCGAAATTTAGGTTAGGGATGTTCCCCACTTCTTCACTCTAATCGGAAACCCTGACCCTTATATATGTATATCTCTTAAATATACTTATTTTTTCTCTTTCTTTTTTAGAAGAACTATTGTCTGAACGTGGTAAATGTAAAACATTACAAAATGAAATGGAACGATGTTTTTCTGACTTACAATTATTATAAACAACAACGTCATGAAACTTGCTTATTAATATTATTTTTTTTATATCTGATTCGTACTACTCTTATTATCATTATTTTTTTCTTGTTTCGCGTTGCATATTCATCTTTTAATTGCGTTTCAACGTACAATCTGCGCAATTTCATTAAACTCTTTTGTTCTGTTTTTTTTTTCTTTACTAATTATAACAAGTAAATTTCTGTATGAATTTGAATTATTATAGATAGCATGATAGAAAAAAAAACAACAGAACGCCATCTATGTGAATAAAAACGTGAGTGATTAAGAGTAAAAGCGTTTGTTCATTATCCTACATTTTTTTTCAAGTTTGCTAGCGACTATCTAGCAGAGATATTTATCTGATATATAAAAGACCTGTCTCATGTTCTAACGCAATATTCTTACAGTGTAAGACTGTGTTTCTCACAAAATATTTAGGAGAACGCTCGAAGTTTTTTTCTAAAATTGACTGGTAGCAGGTAATCTTCTGTCAATTGTTATTTTATGCATACATTTTGTTTAATTTTATTGTTCTGAGTTTGGCTACGAACGGTTGCTGTTTGGCTGTATTTTTATCGTTGTCAAACATAAAGTACGCTTTTTTTTATTTAATCTTTGCATTTTTCTTTTCATGTTGTCTCTCACAGATAGTGGCTGTAGCATATTGTTGTCATTTTGTCTTTGTTTTACTCTGCGTATGTTCTATTTTTTATTTCGTGCTCAAATATCTCTTTAATCGATGTATTTTTTTTTCTGTTTTACATCCACTGTCATTTCAACAACGTTTATCGTGTTGGTAATTTTAATAGAGTTGCTGCTATACGCTTTATGTTATTCTCTTCGTATTGAGTACATTAATGTTTCAAAAACCAAGTATTGGATAAATTTTGTTTTGGAAAAGAATAAAGTTTAAAACTAATCACTGTTTTGTGAACAAGTTCTTAGTTGCTTTTACTTTTATTTTTCTGAAAAATTATGTTAAGTTAAAATTTATTAGTGAGATATTTTATCGTTAATATTGATCAGATTGAGACAAATATCGAATATTCTATGATGAGACTATCAAGTACTTGCTGTTCAGATTAATTGTGTATGACATCAATGTAGAAGACAACAGTACCTTTATAAATTTTCTTATACAATGTTTAAGAAAAACTTAGATATTTCTTATCGTTCTGTTGTATAGCCATTACTTTTTTTTCTTATACTTTAGATGCAATGACAAGTTTAGAAAATTTTTGACGATGTTCTATAAACAACATGGTTTTTGATATCGAAATTGCCAAATCAACAGTCTGATTTTACCATGTTAAAAATGAGTCATTTACTTGATGCACAGTATTTTGATTATTATTTAGAGATGTCATCATCTATATGTAAAGAATCGTCATGATAATATACCTGTATATATATAAAGAATGATATAGAGTTGCTCGATCGATTAACATAATTATAGACCTTATTGTTATTTGCAATTCACCGTTCAAACATGATTGCAATCGATCACAATTATTGATAGGAAAATTAAACAAAAAATATAAATTATGTTATTTTCGAATAAGTAGAGTTTTGATAATATTGAATTGAAATTCTTCGAATTAGATAATGATTTATTAGAAGAATTTTGAGACGTTAATGAAATATACATCAGTATTTCATTTAATTATAAAATACAACAAGAACATCAAGTAACTGTTCACTATGGAGTGTTGGCTAATATACTGAATGTGTCATAAATATTAATTTTAATTATTTCACTTCATCGGATAAAATATATATGCTACGTGTGAATTGTTTTTATAGCGTTGTTTAGAAGTAGATTCGATACTATTGTCATATATATAAAAAGTGAGTTTTTAATAATATTCATAAAAGTTGTAAATGGAAATGATAAATGATCCAGTAATGAGTTTGAACAAATTGATTTTTAGAATAGTTGACCATCTTACTCGGCACATTTTCTCATGTTATCCGTTAAAGATCAGATAACAGTCATAATATGTTCTTTTTTATCCACTTTTATAACTGATGCATTGTAACTAAGCATTATTTTCTGTTCGATGTTTTATGACTTTTTTTTGCTACATACTTTTTTTTTCACTGCTATTTCCAAATTGTCAATGGTTATATTATTGTGTTACGCTTGTTAAAAGCGAACATGAAGTATCATTTTCATGGATATTGACAGAAAAATATGTCTTCATCGTTTTTATTCCTTGCCCATTTTTTCTATTCGTTTTTGATTGTATGATTTCTGTTGTAGATAAAACGTTGCACTCTTAAAAATTTTCATAAAATGTATATTAATTCTTGGGAAGAATTTGCTAAACAAGCTGAACGTTTATATTTAAATGATCCAATGCGTTGTCGTTTATGTATTAAATATCGTAATGAATTATTGATATTAAGATTAACGGATGATCGTACATGTTTACAATATAAAACAAAATATGCGCAAGATATTAAAAAAGCGGAAAAATTTATGAGTCAATTAATGCGTAAGTTTTTTTAATTATTTAAATGATTGTAATGATATTTATTTACATTTTATCTAGGTCATATGGCATCCAAAGAATTATAACGAAAACTATGTTTTAATTCTATTGTTGTTTTTATCTTTTTTATTTAATAAAGATTGTTATTGTCAGTAATCTATTTTTTCGTACAAAATTGAAAGTCATGAACAACTCTTTCTCATACATTACTCTTCTTCAAACTCATTGAATAGGAGCAACAATACTTGTTAAGATAATTGTTTAGAATGAAAACTGTCTAATTGGGAGGGAATCGACGTTTATTGATAAAAAACAAAACAAAATTATTATAGAAAAAGAGAAACCAACTAGTATAAATAGAAAATTCTTAAATTTTGTCATTAACTTAAAAAATATTGCTTAGCTTTTGCAAGATATATAGAGAATAGTCTTCTCTCACATCTTATCTCATTTTTATGAGTGTTGATGATTATAGGATATTAAAAATTTGAACAAAATCATGAAGAGAATTGTATTAACTGTGAAAAATGATATAATCATTTTGTTGATATTATTACTGTTATTGTTGTTTTATTATTTGTGAATTTTTTCTCATGGGCAGTCATAAAACTTGAATGTTTATCAAAGGAAAAAGAAAAAAAAAATTAAAGAATATTTATCTACTTGATACCGTTTATTTCATTTTATTATAACACAAAAATGATGCCTTCAGTTATCAAAAAAAAAAAATTAGACAAGAAAATTTTAAAAATATAATTACACTTGAATGATGTGTAAAACAAGACGTTTGTCTTTATCTATAGTCGTTTTGTGTTCAATTGTTGCCTTTGATGTTAAATTGCCCAAGAAAAATTAATCTTTTGAATGTGTTCAAGTATACACATATATACACAATTCAATTTGAATATGTTTAAAACTGTTCTTTTATTTGTATATCATTTACGGATAGAGTGTGCGTGTTAAAATAAAAGGGATTCTCATCCAGAAAAAAAAAGCCAAGAAAATCACATTTGGTTAATTCTTTTATCATTTTTACATTGACCATTGAATTTTTCAGTTTCATTTTTACAAATTATTTTCAATGTTAAAAAAAAATAAAAAAATACGCTAAGAATATCAGAAACATACGATAAAAATCATAATTTTCTTTTAAAATATTATTCAATTTTTAAGGTATATAATGCTGTTGGTTGACTTGTTGTTCTTTCGTGTTTAGACTCATCATGATTAAAAATTTCTTCTAAATTGTCGATGAAGGATGAGCCAATAATGTCTTTTCGTTGACAATAAAAAAGTAGTAACAAAGATCAAAGGATATTATATCAATTAATTTTTTGTCGGCATTTTTAACATCTATCTCTTCACACATTTTGATCACAAATATGGACAATTGAATTGCCTAGATTAACTAATATGATTTACAAATGATGCTCTTATATCGTATTAATCAGTAATCTTTTATACGTTAGATAGAAAGAGAGAGAGAGAACGATTTTATGGTACACATGAATGAATATGAAATATAAACGGCTATTTTAATGATACTTTGTTGAGAATTGATTCTTATAAACGATCGAGAAGGAGATACACAATGAAAACGTATGAGATAGGTGTTGAATGAAAAATAAGGAAATTTTCTACAACTTTTATTAGATAGAACATTTATTTTTTTGAAAAAGTTTTTTTTTCTTCTTACAAGTGTTGCATCTCTCCAATAACGGTCTATGCACAGCATACTTGAACACGGTTAATTATTATTGTATCAGATCTTTTTTCGTTATAAGATTGGTGCAATTGTTCAATTTCTTTTTCAGACTGTGGCATCTAAAATGGTAAAAACAGAGAACTATTGGTTTGATATTTAATATCTTGTTTTTTTTCAAATTCTAAAAAATAATTATATGTCTTCGACATCATTATTTTCATCTTATTAATCAAAAACACTAGTTTATTGATTATTACATGAATTTCATCATTATCAAAAAGTTCTCTTTTTTCTTTTCTTTTTTTAAATGTTACTCTCCGTGATCTATGTATATATCGATCGATCAATATCGAATCAGGTTAATGTCGTATATTGATGTATTATTAATATTGAACAAATGATTTAACAATTATTTCAAATCTATTTGTCCTTGTCACTAAAAAATTCTTTCATCTTCGTTTGTCCACCCGGTTATTTTTAATGATGAGAACATGATAAAAGATAATCAGTGGCTCTCGTAAATTATAGACTGATCAATATCTAATGAATTTATTTTTATCATAGAGAAAAAAGTTCAATGAATATTGAAATTATTAGCTGCTTTGATTTTCTTAAATCTTGATTATCATAAATAATTGTTTCGATAACTTATACATCGTAAATATTGCTTGATTTATGTCACTATCTGACATATGAAGATGTATGAAAAGTGTTTTGATAATCGTACTATTTTAACGGAATGTTAACTTTCATACCACGTAGAAGTCGTATGTTTACCAGATCTGATATTTTTGTGACTTATTTATTTTATTTCATTGTATAAATTTATATAAAATTTTTTGGATTTTGACCATTTTTAACTGCTCGAAATGAAGTTTGAATCTAAAATGAAATATAAATATTTTTATTAGATAGGGAAAAAACTTCAAGCAAAATTATATAAAATCAATGCCATGGGATATTTTTACAGCAAAAAAAGGAAAAAAGTTACGTCCGACTAGAAAATTTTATTATTGTTACATGAGAAAAAGAGGACAATCAAAAAAGAAAATAATATACCATTTAGTAGTTCTTGTGCATTCAAAATTTCATTACATTAAACAATAAAATGGAAAATGAGTTTTTCAAATGAGATAGGAAGAAAATATTGAGATTTCATCATATTATTATTCTAGTTTTTATCTCTTAAAAAGTCAACAATGTTACATTTAGACGCTGAAATTACATTTTCACATTGTCAATGTAGTCGTTGTACCAGTTTTTATAAAATAATTTAAGAAATATGTATTGAATGTATAAAATTGAAAATTGCTATGTTCATCATACGCATCTGTTGGTATAATTATCGATTTGATTGGTCAATAATTGTTGCTAGTCCCATGGCTGGTGATGCGAAGTTTATCAATGGTTTTATTGTGATTGAATTGATAGAATTTATTGGTGAATGCTGTTGTTGCCGATGAGTAGATGATCTCGATGAAGATGCTGGCGATGATGAACAAGAAGACGAAGAGTTTGATAATAACATTTTATCATTTGTTGGAGAAACAATTTCGGGTAATTTATGTGCTAAATGTGAATGTATATTTCTGTCATTGTTGTTGCTGTTATTAGTATTATTATTATTTATTTCTTGTGTTGAAGGGAACGAATTTAAACGTATACGTGATTGAGCGACTGTTGTACGAAAGGAAAGATAATCGTTCGGTGATGATTGTAAACCAATAGTTTGTTGTTGTTGTTGGTGTTGTGATGCAGAACGTAAAGCAGCTGCTGATGAGGCCATTCTTGTAATACTGTTTACACCACCCACGGTCGCTGCTGCTAATGGATTAAATGGAAAAGCCATTGGATTTGTTGTGCCATATGGATTTGTTGTGCCATATGGATTTGCAGCCGCTGCAGCATACATGCAAAGATAAGAAAATGGATCACCATAACCTGGCCAAGCAAAGGGTATTTTTTGTCTTTTGTCTTTCATCCGTCGGTTTTGAAACCATACCTATAAACAAAAGTACAATTTCATATCTCCACATAAAAGACGTTTTATTAAAAGAAAACAAACCTTAATTGTAGCTTCTGGTAAATTTAATTCAGCTGCTAGCTCACATCGTCGTGGTCTTGTCACATAGCTTTCACGTAAAAATTCCTTCTCTAAACAACTCAATTGTTCTCTTGTAAATGCTGTACCTAATTCAAAATAATAAATAAAAAATTAGAAACACCACCTAATTAACAGTTCAAAATACTTACGATATCTTCTGATATTCTCGTCATTTATTGCATTATTATTATTATTATTGCTATCGTGGTTGATACTATTGGAAGTTCGAACTTGATGCGGTGTTGAGGCATTAGTACTCGATGGACTGGATGAATCATCTAAATAAATAGAAAAATTTTCGCGTTCATAGAGAAAACAATTCATATTTATCTAAGGAAAAGTCTTTATTGTACTGTACACAGCTGAATATCTTTGAAAATCAGTTCAATATTAGCTCATCGAGAATTACACTTGATTATATGATATCATTATCCTTAAGTAGTATTACCATCAATTGGCATTGTGATATTTGCTACCATACAGTTAGTGCTACATACAGTTTTAGATAGAATCAATCTATGTAGCTTCATAACGTTAAAAATTCATTAATAACCTTGAAATAGTAGTGAAGTTCAAATTTAGTTCTATACTTATCTAACTGCTCTTTTCTAGTTCCACATTCCAAATTCAACAAGATAAGGTAGTTTTTAGTAATCATTATGAAGAATTCTAACAGTTAAGAAAAGTTTTGAATTGAAAAAGCGTATATATATAGATTAGATAACTTGACCTTGATAGTCATCGAGCTACAGTTAGTTTTTCTTCAGTATGACTTCTCTCCTAGACAACAGCATTTTTTTATTAGAAAGTCACATACTGATGCCTAGTCAGTAAGATGTTTACCTATAAAAACCATGTGGAGAGTTAAAAAAGCTTTAACGTTAGAGGATTAAATTCTGTATCATCTACAGTATATAAATGAGGTGTTGTTCACATTAAACTACATCTAATCCAAAAGTTTCAATGTGAATTCATGGATTATGAGCAAATGATAGTAGTTTTCTACATGGTAATAGAATCCGCTTTAGAGCACTGGCTCGATCAAGTGAAATTCGGGATTTTTCATTAAATACAAAATACGATAATAGAAGTCACTTGACAATTAGCTGATGCATACGTCTTATTTCCAGGCAAGACGGCTCGAAATGGTTTATCTTAAGACATTTATCGTCGTGATGAATACGATACGAGTACAAACGCTAGTCCTATCGTATAGGACTACAGTACAAGAATACCATCTGTGTATATAGTGATCATCGACGTTTGTCAAGAAAATCGAAAGATGTTTTGGATTTATTTATCTTAAATTAAGGCGAACTTTTTTTAAAGTAAATAATCCATTTCCTTATTTCAGTATTAGAACATTTTAGTAGACGAGTCAGAGATGTTTTCTACTTATTATCTCGTCGGAAAATTCATGAAGAAGTTTAAGTTTTAATAACATCATGTTATCTGAGTCATCCGTTTTTTTACTACTTACGTGTACCACTTTCTATACGACTTTATATCATTCATTGTTCTTTTGTGAAATCTTTTTTCAAGCTCTTGTAATAAAATCTTGCAAGATCTTGGGACATCGTACGAAGTGTGAGAGTTTAGAATAATGTGAGATAAAGTTTCATAAGAATCAGAGGAGTTGATGCTTGAAAATCTGGAAATAAACCTTCCAGGAATCCGTAAACATTTTGTCTCAAGATTGTAATATTTAAATACCTAGTTATCCTCTAAAGTTTCACATTAGAGGCATCTACAGCTCACTTATATAGTGTAGATGATACAGAATTTAATCCTCTGAAGATAAAGCTGTTTTAACTCTCCACAAGGTTTTTATTGGCAAACATCTTACTGACTAGGCGTCAATACATAGCTTTCTAATAAAAAAATGCTATTGTCGATGAGAGAAGTCATATACTAATGTCCTTGCGAAAGTGACTTTTTGTGGAATATAAAAGTTTGACCAGCGTAAACGTTTTTTCAAGCTATATAGAATATCTCTGGATGACTATCTAACTTTTATCAGTTCACTCCAAAGTTGAAAATACATATATATCCTAGGAATCTTATAGATATTACAAAAACGAGATTCTATTCAATATTAAACATTATAAACTTATTTAACTACAAAAACTTTACCGGTATCATCGTCATCTTGCATATTGAGATCCAAATTATCATCATCATCTTCATTATCATTAAAATGATTTAGCCTTAATAATCTGTTGCTGGCTGCCGCAGCCGCATCAGCAATAGACATAAAGTGTCTTGACGAATGTTCCGTTCCTAACATACTTGTCATTGTTTTTTATAATGATGAAAAACAATATACGAAACGTGTTTGAAATGATTATTAAAAGAAGATGAAACAATTAACAATCTCTCGTTTTTTCACTCAAATAAATATATTATTGCGGTCGTGTTTGTCATTGCTCATAATTATACTGTCGCTTCAAAATTCTATTGGCATGTTCTTTCGTTTCTGAATCTCTTTCTCACTTTATCACATATCTATTTCTCTCTCTTTAGGATAAACTAATTTTTTTCTTTTTTCCATGTGTGTGTGCACATATCAATCATAGCTCATTTTTGTTTTATTACATCTCTGTTTTCCTATTGGTTGAACAAAAATTCTTTTACAAACTAATACTAACTTCATTCTCTTAATTGTCTGCATGTATATAAAAAAGAAGCAAATACGGACAGACACAGAAAGCTCTATAAACCGTCTACTGTCTGTAGATAGGTCAGATTTGAGGAGAAGATCAACTTATACATGAAGCAAATAATTGCTAATATTATTATAAACAAGAAGTGAACGTGATGGTGTATGATGAAATAGAGAGGTGTGAACAGAGGGTAAAAAAAGAAAAGATGTTCAATACAATACAATTAACAAGTATTTTTATTTGAATAAAACATGTTTAAATAGAGAAAAACTATTCATGGTTAATGGTCATAGTCTCGGTATAGATATATAGGAGATATGTATAATAATGAGTTTTGAGTTAAGGTCGAGCTTGTATACACACACACACACACACAAATACAGACATAAATTTAATCAATTAAATCAGAAAGCCGATCATCTGAGATGAAGTTATAGAATTTAAATATTTTCTTTTCTTACTCAAGTTCTTGATATCAACTTAAGATGTTTTATAAACAAAAGCAAAAAAAAACCTTTCTGTTTGCATTTTTAAAGTTTTCAGTAAACACAGCAGAACAAGTTTACATCTTACTTTTCTTACTTCAGCTGTTTATCCTATGCATATCTCTCAGTCTATTACAATAAATTTCAATATTTAGAAACCTCTTCCTTTGTCCTTCAAAAACAAAATAGTCTCATCACTAAACTCTTATTTTTACTCGTGCCTACGATCATTAGTATATTTTGTATTGTATTAAACATATTTATTTTAATTTATTTTTTTTCTCTTCACTTTTCAATATATGGCGAAATAGTAGTTGATTAATGATGTTACGGACAATACTAATTGGTTCCTCCTCTATTTATTATAAACGAACGAACAACAATTGTATGTGCGTGATTGATATAAAACGAAAGTTTTTGTTAAAATGATGACCATCCTTCGATCATGTTAAGCATATTTATTAAAGGGTCAATAAATACTCAAATGATCATATTATGCCCACAGTCATAAGTTGTTGTGTCTCTCATCACACATTCTATAGGACATTCATCATTAATCGATGATAATAATACACTTGCCTTGAGTCACAATAATTTGTTTTCAATCTAACCAACAACTTTTTGTGGAATATAACAGTTTTATAGTATCCATTTTCCATCTAGATTTCTCATCAATATAGAATGTATCCATCTACTCTGTGATTCTAAATGAAAACTGACTTCGATTAGAATTACAGAATAGATGGAGAATTTTATAAATGACTGTTATTTCGATGAAACGGTGGTGCTTTTACTTATCATAATTCGTAGTTTAAAAAGAAAATAATTTTCATATCGAGTGAAAAATGCAGGAGAGATGGATGGCACTAGATTTCTATCACAAGGTGATTAGATGTTCAAAGTCAATTGTTGACAATTGGTGTCACATAAATTAATAACAAAACAGACCATGTTTATGGTAAATGTGTTTTTATTTGTCAACAGGTGTGTCTATCTCAATATATTGATTGATTTTATAGTAACGATTGTCGGCAGATCTATAACTGAGAATGTGGACTACTTATATGTGAAAAAGCGACTCTAACACTTCGAAATGAGTTCGTACACTTTTTGAAATTACTTCGCATAAGACTATCCAGTGATCGCTGCTGTAATGGCCAGTAGTTTTCGATTTTCATAAAGCTAATTGCCTTAAGATAATTCGAAATGATTGAAGACATTTTTTAATCCTTTAGGTTCGTATACTCTCACGTTGAAATAACACTCCACAATTTCTGAAAAACTTTTGAGATTTTGTCAACATAGCAGGCATCAGTTAGAAATTGTAATGAAGTGGAGTTTTTCAAGAAACACGGAGACAGCAGTGGAACAACTCAGTGAGTGACAAAAACGAGATGTAATACGAAAACCTTATTCTTTAAACTGTTTATGCGCATACATTTTTTCAAGTAGTAGTACTAAGTGTGAGATAGAAATCATGTGTAAAGTAAAAGAGTAATGAGTAGGGGTGGCACATTACTGTTACTTTTACGAGTAATCCAAATATTGTATATATTCCTGTTACCAGTAACAGTAATACTTTTCAGTTTTACTGTTGCTGGTACAAATTTTATGAACATTCTTATCACCAGCAACAGTAAAACTGAAAAGTATTACCGTTACTGGTAACAGGAATATATACAATATTTGGATTACTCGTAAAAGTAACAGTAATGTGCAATCCCTAGTAATGAGAGCATGCTGATAATCAGCATTCTGAACTTTCTCCAGCAGAAAATTCTGTGTTCTGCTACAAACGATAGGGTAGTTTTTCTTACAAAATTATCTACTGCATATGTATCTATTTTGAGATTGAAAAGGAAGATACACTACTTCACAAGTAATTTGTGTTCAAGTTATTGATGAAAAATGTCCATTGACATGGTTTACCGAAGTTTTCTACTATAAGAATAAAATATAAATTTCATAGGCTATTACCATGAATATTTGAGTTTCTAGTAAAAATGACTGAATGACTCTAAATACTCGAAAGAAACCTATATGTCTGAAGTAGATGATAGGGAAAGAATTATTTATCTCTAATCTGTTAAACTGAATTATGATTTGTACCATGTTATAGTTCCCAATATTTTAGCAAATGAAGATGTTAGCTCACACAATGAAATAACATTTAAATATGAAGAACCTTTGTCTTTCTTTACTGTTACTTGTATTTTGTCTCCTATTTAGTAGGAAAAGATATAAAAGGGTTGTTACCAAAAATATGAAGTACTCGACAAATGATCAATGATTACTGTTGTTTTCGACTATTATTCTTTAACTGATTCACTGTTATATATACGTATCCCATATAACGATAGGTGGTCTACTACGTAGCCGGTTAAAAATCAATCATTTCTATCACCTACTTGAAATTATTATCAAAACTCTTAGATACATTCAGTAATCATTTGAAAATAACATTTCTAGCAAAACATTGTTAGATCGAACTTTTTCTCTTTTATATATATTCCAATACTTTTATGATACCTATTATACGACGGCTTAATCGATCGTGATCAACGTCATATTATCATTAATGTTATTAGACCAATCACGTTTACCTTTGTAGTGCTATAGTAAAATTGATATGAACTCTGCTTTTTTGTATTCAATGCAACTTAGTCTATGATTCAAAAATATCCAACAGTCCACTATTCTTTTTGTATAACACAATGATCCTTCTGTAGGAGTTTGGTGCTCAGATTAGATTTATGAGTGAAATAGCTGACTGAATTAGTTTTTAAGAGTTTTGGACGATTAATTCTGTGGGTATTTTAAATCGATGGGTGAATGCTAATGATTACAAGCGTTTAGCCATCGTTGCACTTGAGAGATGACTCAATCTACGAAGTTATTATTATTTTCACTCACAGAACATCGGATTAATCAAGATTTTAAGATTTCATAAAAAACGTCATCATATTGTTTCTCTTTATTATTATATTGCATATATTGTTTCTCTTGACGAACTAACTATCAATCATTCTAAGAGAGTGGAAACATACTAGAACAAATTTTCTAATCTAGCCGTAGAGAATAGACAATGTAGAAACAACAAAACTTTCACGACGACCATGGAAGTCAAACTCGTTGTCAAAACAGTACCGGATATCAATGTGAATTCGATGCCGAACATTTAAACTTTCAAGCACCTAACAAACGGAAACTTGTACACATCTGGACGCTTCAATTTTATAGACTTGAACTCCATTTTTTATACCTCCTCCTTTCGGTTTACCATTCGTGTCAAGTTAACCTGATGTTTTGTTTATTCTTATTCTCTCTACATTTGTCTCATCTAAATGGTTGACTAAACTGGATGACGATGAGAACATAAATATGATAATATTTGTTGTCGTTATGTTTTTATATTTGTGTTCTTAGTCTAAAATCTACTAAATTAAAAATTGTTCCATAATGACTCTTTTACAAGTGTATAGTTTCTTTTCGTTGATGCACTATTTCTTGGACACAACAAAAAAGTCAAGTACAAATGAATAAACGAGAATTATACTATTGTTTCTGTATAGTATTTGGTTTTCACAATAAACTTACTAGTATGCGATAAAAAAAAGACTTTATATTTAAGATAGGTGAAATACTTATTCTCTACTATTATAACTAAAAATTAATTAAATAACTTACCAGCAATCGATGTATTATTAATAATACTTTCTGAATTATGTTGATACAATGATGAATCTAATCGTTCTTGTTTAACATAAAAATTTGGGTTTTTTCGATCATAAACGACCATGTTCTATCTGTTTTTTTAATTTAAACGATATAGATGGTAAGTAATAGGGGTATGATGATGATGTGTGGAAGAAAAAGAAAACCTTGTTATTATTTTATTACTTTATTATTTGTTTATGTCTTCTATTTCTTTTTTTACAATGTGTAATTATGATTATAATGAGATTAAATTAACGTAGTCAATGAATAAATCCCATCATTTTTTTTTTCTTCGATCTTTTTTCCTTTTCTGTTGTCATCATTCATTGCATGATTTTTTTTTTCTTCTTTTCTATTTCTATTTGGTATCTAAATTCGCACTTTTTCTAGACAAAATCCACCACCAATCAGTGATATTGATGATATTCCAT